CGGGCCTCCTGTCGTGTGATACCGCCGCCTGGACGCGTTTCGCCCCTGGACCTGTGGTTTTGCGTTACCCTATAGCTCTGTTACACAGCACACGCTTCATACACCATGGCAGCGCTGTCAAGTTTATAATCTCGTGTAATCTTTAATCTATAAAATCCCTTTCATCTATGATCTACCTACCCCACTGGAAATAACGGCTTTACCGCTGTTCTCTGCACTAATGCTCTTGCTCCTCAGTAGGTGCCAGTTGCCTTCTCTCTCATGAATGGCCTGAATTATACACATCTCCTTATATTATGAATAACAATTCTAAATTTGAGGTCCATGGCTTCTGTTGCAGTGCTGAAAAACCAACGTTTAAAACCTCTTTTATCAGGTCTAATAAAAGATATAACCTCTAGACTGCATACTAATCAAATCAGTTTTGTCAATAGCATGTGTTTCTTGAGGTTTACGGTGCCCTCGTGCTGCATATTTTAAATATGTGAGATTTAATTAAAAATTGTAAATGATAGTACAAATTAATTATATTTTTACAGGTAAGCATCCCTCCCTTTTTATTTGAAGCTGTTTTATATGCCCCTATTGATGACACAAATAGCACGGCAAAGATTGGAAATGGAAACATCTTCTTTACTTTGTATAAAAAAGAAGTGGCCATGTGGGAGTCCCTAACTCTGGCAAATAGTAAGTTCTCTACTGTGAACACTAGGTTGCATGTAAGAAACCCAAACTGTGCTGACACTTCACTAACTGTAATAAGCAATGTGAAATTTCTGCTGCAAGCTATCTGCCAAGTTAAACCTTGTTCACTGTTAAAAGCAGAAAGTATATGAAAACAAAGAACATCAGCTGGCTCTAGTGCACACAAACCAAAACAATGTTTCTTGAAAAACTTACATTTTGGGTGTAGACAAATCTTAGTTGTTTTTTACAGAAGGGCTTGATAGAGGCTGCTTTGTGGAACTGGAACCATGTTGTGTTTTCTCAAAGTAGCAAAAAGAATCCTGTTTTTGTGAAGATGGTACATAACAGTACAACTTCAGACCTAAATTACAAAAATAGTTTTTGTTTCGATTTTTTTTTAAGCTAACAGAGAGAAACTACAATATTTAAGAGAGAATGCTGTTCTAAAAGCTCATGAAAAAGCAAAAGAGGAGACCGAAGCAAGGAAAGTTACAAAACAGGAACACAAAAAGTATGCGTTGGAGGCCACAATGAAGGTGAGCCGAGAAGGAACTCTGCGAGACACATGCATGTAAACAGTTGCCAGCAACCTGGCAGCTGCTTGGTTAAATGTACCTTAAAAATATGAAAAGTACTCATATTTATTACAGTGGTGGTGAACCTTGTTATTTCTTTGTACTTAAAACATTTTGTCTATTCCTAAATATGAAAACAATACAGAAAATATACTTAGAAGTTGCTGTTTTCTATTAATAATACTAATAAAAATTTTTGGTGAAGAGCTCAGATTTTTGTCACTTGAAAGGATACTACCTTTGCACCACTGCAAGTGTTCAGTCACTTAGCACTGTAAAAAATACTGATTTTTAAAAAAGAATCTTATTTATTCCTTGTTATATTTCTGATCAGACTTGTTAATTGCCTTTTGTGTGTGTGTGTATCTGTTGTTCTGTGTTTCATGTGCATTTTAGGATACGTTCTTTTCTTCATAAATCTTATGTATATAAAAAATATGGTGACTTATTTGTGGTTGAAAGTATACAATGAAATTTTAAGATTGCATATGCAGTTTGGACCAAATGGACTGCAGTTAATAACTTTCGTAGTAGCAGTATTGTACCTATTCGGCCTGTTAATAATCTCAAAGAGAAGAGGAAAAATAGGAAATAGTGTATTGAACTGAAGCCACATATTTTACGTATCTGTATATTTCAGAGATCTGCATTGGACTATGGCTAGGGTTTCCATTGTTTACAAGTAAAACTTTTTCTGAATGTTTCTGGGTTATACCTTAGTAGTGGTGCTAAAATAGTTAAAGTATATGACTTTCAAAAGCTGATCAGAAATCTTTACTCTCCCAAGCATTTTTAAGCATCTTTCATAACTCTGCTTCTATGATCACATTGATGAGGATGCTGTTCTTGGAATATGAAACTGGGAAAACAATGGTAACTTTTACTTGGTCATCTTACTGTTATCAGATGCTGCGTATCTCATTGGTTTATCATTCAAACAGCTAGAAGAAGCAGAAAGAAAAAGAATTGAAGATCTGAAAGAAAAGGAGCGTCAGAAGGTCACTAAGGAGTTGGAGTTGTGGAGAAAACAGCAAAAAGATGCTGAGAAACAGAAGAGCATACAAAAAAAAGGGGAATTACATCAAAAAGTAGAGCAATTAAAGGAGAAGAAAAAGGAAAAAATGAACAAAACTAGTATTCCTAGTGAAGGAACTTCTAAGACCAGACTCAAACCTATTAAAGGTTGTGTTATTGGAGTGTATTTTGTCATTCCTTAACGTATGGGTATGACTTTATTCCTAAATGTTTCTAATTAATCATTTATCTTTGTCTCCACCATACTGACCTAATTCTTTCAGTTTGCTGTTATTTTACTGTCTTTATTGTCAGGCAGTTTATTGAGCTAAAGCATGCAAATTCTTGGCCCTCATTCAAGTCTTTGGAAATACAAGAGCAGGTTTTGTTCTAGGCTTTAGAAAAGTAAAAAGGAAAGCCTTCCAGACAGTGACTTTCTGAGGGTGGAGTTCATGTTACCCTGAGTTACCTAATTGCTGGTTTTCATAGGCGTGGGCAGTCTCCTTTCACTTTCTCTGTCCCATGTCTTGGCTTCTAGGCTTTAGAAAAGTAAAAAGGAAAGCCTTCCAGACAGTGACTTTCTGAGGGTGGAGTTCATGTTACCCTGAGTTACCTAATTGCTGGTTTTCATAGGCGTGGGCAGTCTCACTTTCTCTGTCCCTGTCTTGGCCCGACAGAGAGCCAATTCAGGGAACTGAACCAACAGAAGACATTTCAGTTTAGTTTTATTTGTTTGTTTTCATAAGGTTGGTTTTAGCTCTTGCAGCCGCCCGGTCAGAGGATCATGTAAGGGACAGGGAGAGTGGTGAAAGAGGAGTTTCAGTTCATTTGTGACAGATGATGTAGCCAGTAAAGAGATGGCCTGATAGAGCAGGAACAAAGGTTTTTTAACCTTCCCTTCAAAAGAACAACTCTACACCTTTCTAAAGCTATTAGAGGTTTAGTTCTAGTGTGCAGAATTTCTAGATTAGGTGTAATTTGGATGTTGGTAAAAACTCCAGGAAAATCCTCTTAGCTTCATTTCTCATTTCCAGTACTCCAATTCTTTTCATAGATCATGGTTCCTGTAGTATGTTTTCAGAAAATTTAAAGGAAGAACAGTTACCAGCTCCTCGATGTGCTGCTACAATTAAAATCAGCTTTACGCCACGAGTTTTTCCCACAGCTCTGCGAGAATCTCGCATTGCAGAAGAGGAGGAGGTAAGATTGCTCTCTGTTTTAGTATGATGCTTCTGCTGTCTTCCAAGGTGGTGACTGTTTACTGTGTATTCAGTAAGTTGACAAAAATGTTACGTGTGCAATATTCTTATATTCCAAAGAAGGTAGTCTTATTGAAACTGAGATTTAAAGAAACACTTTAATATAAAAATTATTTTCCCCAGGCATGTGGTTGTGCAAATTAATAAATAGCATGTTCCTCTTTTTGAGAAGGAAAAAAAAGGGCAGAAATATTAATTGAAGTACAAAATTTGAAATATCTTTTGTATTTAAGAGACTGTAAGTTCTGTCTTCCTAGAAAGAAGCTCACAGTTGGCTCTTTTGAGCTGTGTTGAATGAACACAGAGTCATTTTCGAGTTGTGTGTTTACAGTGGCTACGTAAACAAGCAGAAGCTCGAAGAACAATAAATGCTGATTTGTCTGAGCTGGAAGATTTAAAAGAAGAGGAGAAGAATCCAGATTGGTTAAAGGAGAAAGGAAAGTAAGTTAGAATCCATTTGAAGATGTATTTAAAATGAAGTATTAGTTTTATAATGTGTGCCTATTGTTTAGGTTTGATATTTTCTATTTATGCTACACACAGTTGATGAATGTCCACATAGCAGAGAATTTATTGCCAGTTTATGGTGTTTGAATCTGATAAAGTCACGAGATGCAATTGCTGAATCTCACGATGAACAAAATCACTGTGAACACATAATGCATATTCTTCTGTGGGGGCGGTTGAGTCAGTGCAATATTATACTAGGGGGATTTCCTCTCATTGGTACTTTTTACTGAAAGGTTAAATGCCGGTCTAAAACAAACCTTAGAAATTTGCTAGAAGTATTGGTATGTTTGTATACGTGTGTTATACAGAGAGGTTTGATTAGGGAATCAGGGTCAGATACAGAGCTTTCAAAATGAGTCCTGTGTCGGCACAGATGTGTCCACCTCTGTTTGTCATTGCTTTTAAGCAGTGACTGGTTTTGGTAGGTTGTGTGCCTATATGCCGTTTTGTCAGCATCGTGTCTGACCGAACTTACGTAGCTCTCCGAGAAGGCTGTAAGTGGCCATTTCTAAGGAAAAGCTGCTAGAAGTTCAAATGTAAAAAAAATCATTGTTAATGATTAGGTATTTATTTTGTGATTAATTGTTTAAAGTAGATGTTTCACTTTTTTGTTTTATACTTAGCAAAATGTTTGCAGCGGGAGACTATCTTGGAGCTGTAAGTGCGTATAACCTCGCGGTGCAGCTGAACAATAAGCTTCACCTGCTGTATCTGAATCGTGCTGCTTGCCACCTGAAACTGAGAAATTTACATAAAGCCATTGAAGACTCCTCTAAGGTATAAATGTATAGGTTCTCCAACTGTCATCCATGGTTGTGATGTGTTATTGTGGCCCTTCTCTTTCAAGCAGACATGTGAATACTTATTAGTGGGATTCAAAATTGATATAATGAAGCCATGGTGAAACAGTAGAATTGGATAGGGATTGATTAATGAACTTGCAGAAGCTCCAAACAAAACAACAACCAAAAAACCCCAAACCATGCTTCCACATATTTGGGCTGAATGGACGCGACGCGGTACACGCTTCTTTACAGGCAAAATATAGTAGCAATTTATACACTCTTGAGGAAAAAAAGACAACTTTGAGAGGAAAAGTATATATATATGTACACAGATACCTTTTGTGTTACGGTGTTCTTCACTTGGTGGGAAGGAAAAGAAAAAGGTCGTGGTGATGAGGGGGATACCTTAAAAAAACTCCAACAAAGCAGGCATTTTTAAAGAAGAGTTGTATCATGTCTGTGTTTTAGCAGCCATTATTTGTGCAGTGAGAAATTGATCTCAAATGGCACCTGAATGATTGGGAGAGTTGTCCCAGAATTACTGTTGTTTGAACTAATAAGTACTTGAGGCTTGAAATTTGTTTTTTCTAGTAACTACTCTAAAAATACATGTGCTTTTTTAGGGCTGCTTTTTTAAATTTTTGTAGCATGGTATAGAATCATAGAAT